ACATCATGTGTTTTATTGGTAGAGCCAGTCTTACACGATTCCTGATAGTCAACAAAGGTTTCATGTTCGCTCTCTTCAAATATATCCCCAGAGGATTCAAACAGGGTTCTTTCATCAGAAGAATCATCATTCTTATTATTGGTATTGCTGATTTCATCTTCACATCCAACTTCAATTGCTTCATTGACGTATTCCATCTCTGCAGGCTTTTCATAGTATTCGAGTGCCTTATGCCTTAATTCCATTTGTTTTACAGGTCTCAGGATCATAGCTTTCATCAATGGAATCTATAGTGGACAATTTTCTGGGGTCACTAAATGCGTCCTTTTCATCCTTTTCGTTTCCAATTCTATTTTCATAACAGAATACAAGATTATTCGGTCTACCGATTCCAGGTTGGTTTTTAGAATTTCCATCTTTTGAATGGATAGATTTCCTCTTATTTAACCTATTAATAGTCTATTTTTTCTTTTTTTCATCCTCTATATTGCCACTTTTCATCAATTTGCTTTTAATATACCTGACATCTACAAATTTGTTTTCTCTTTCATCATTCATCGCATATTCTTCATTTGCCATTATTTCACTACCTGTAGATTCTTCTGGGATCACAAATGTTGCTTTGTTACAGCCTGATCGAATCATATAGTGACATTTTTCATTTTCCCATGCGATATTACAGTGTACCTTTATTACCTACGGCATTCCAAGCATTTCGTCAGAAACCAACTCCCACATTATATAAAACCTTTGAACTACACTGATTCCGTTTATATCAATTTTAGCACTAGGAATATACCCAACGATTTTATTACCTATATGACCGATGGTAGGTTCCTTATTCAAATGTCTCCAGGTAAGCCTTTGCTTTTTTACATAATTTCTGCTTATTAGATTCATACTTGAACCAGTACTAATTGATGCTCTCGCTGCTTGTCCATTTGTTTTTACCAACTTTTTCATCATCGTACTATTATCAACTTTTTGCTTCATTTTACCTTTCTCATTATATTTCAAACCTCCATAATCCTCATTGCTAAATTCTATGAAACGTACTTCCATACAGTTATTATTCAGATGTCAATCTCGAACTTGATCTTTCTAGGATAAACACAAATGAGCCAAGTGTAATTTATGACAACACATATAACAAAGACGTGACTTGCGCCTTTGCCGTTTCCTTTGGACTGTTCTTAGATTCGGTACAACCTCCTTAACAACTATTTCTGCAATGTTTTTCACTAATGGTTCCACTCTTTTCAACTCCAATTCTGTTAAACAATGGCAATTGCCACCGATCACTTTGAATTGTTTGACTTTGATAATCAATTACAACAATTCTTGTTTCACTTACACACAGGTACCAGACTCCAATGTTCAATTACGATCTTTTTGTTCTACTAAGGTTTTTGGTTTGATGTTGCTCACACAGAGAGTTTTAACCTTGATGTCAACCACACAGGTTTCTGTTTATTCAATCACTCAGTCTGCAGCTTAATCACAAAATTTTGGCTTCGACATAAACCACTCAGGTTCAGGAATTCGTATCTCTTAGTTGATTAGGTAATTCGGTCTCACAGTATTGATTGGGATGATAGTTCAACCTTGGTAATACTTGTTTAAGGTAGTAGTTTTGGATTGATTTGGGTGATTAGGGAAGTTCAATCTCACAGTCACCACCAAATGTAAAAGTGCGAAATATCCTCTGGTTCTAGATAATGCCGATATGCACAATATAATACTACAACTAACTAAACTATTCTAACCAGAATATCACAACTAATACAACCAAACCCTAATAGTGGTAAGGCAACGATCGAGGCATGGAAAGACTTAGTCTGAGTAACTAGGGTGAATTGGGTTCTTAGCGATAGTATCAGATTAGATCTCTAGATTACGTCATGAAACTTTTTATTTAGAATCACGAGATTTGGTCACTTATTCCTTTCGTAAAGACAGATTTTACTTATTGGGGGTAACTATTGGGGCAACACTATGCAGCGTCGAACTCTAACTGAGTCAGGAGTTGGAAAATATCAGAGATGTCAAAGCTGAGAACTGCTGAGAACTAATCACAAGTTAAATACTTGGATTTCTTTAATTTGGAACTATGAACTCAACAGAGTTATCTTTATTTTACGTATGATACATTTGAAACTCACTAAGTTATTTTTACTTTAGTGAAGAGAACTTCCACTTATAATAATTTTTACTTATACAGGAATAACGCAAATTCTAATTATTCTCAGAATTCTAATTATTCTAGTTATTCTAGTTATTCTTGTTATTCTAATTTTTTCTGCTATTCTTTGAATTCCTCGAATTCTAGAAATTTTAGGAATTCTGAGAAGTTATACTACTAATTACCGCAGCAACAACTTTTTAGAAAAGGTTGATTTTGCTACTTACAACGTACGTACGTACAGTACATATCAGTCACATAATTTGTCATATCCAAAATTTTATCATATGATTTTCATAAATTACACAAATTGACAAATTTACATTTTTTTAAATTTTCTCCTAATACCTTAGCTACAGCATATAATGTTCTTTAAGCAAAGTATAAAAAATATTAAAAACTAGCTTGCCTTTGTAAAGTAATATAGCTTCAAAACTGTGCTATTTTTTTGTTTTCTCTCACGTAATTCTTCTCTAGTTTACAAATATTTGCTATAAAAAGTAGATCACTAGGTGTGCTGAGTTGAGAGCTTTTGTCAAAATGCATGTGCAAAGAGCTAGTGCGTTATGAACGTAATAAAGAAAATCAGGAAAAACTGTTTTATAAATAGGTAGATCATATTAATTTAACAATTTTTTTTTCATAATTTACTTTTGCTTAAAAAAGCTTTATTTTTATATAACTTTGTTAATTTTATTATTAATATTAAATTATTTAATACAATACCTTTAATTATCTAAATTTGGGACTACAATTTTGTTTTTTTGCTCTTATATAACAGTTATATCATCGATCCTGAATTCATTTAGAATTTTATAATTTTTATTTATTTATTTTTATTTTATTTTTTTTTTGTATATTTAATGATACTAAATATAATTTTTTAGCAGTTTAGAAACTATACATATGAGAAATATTTCTAATAATTTGTTTCAGGTTTGTTAGATTTATCAAGACATCATATTTTCAAACTAAAAAACTAGAAGCTTAAAAAATCTTATTTGAGCACTGCAAAGAGAAAACCTGCAATTGTAAGTTTTTCAAAATCAATTTTATAGGAATGACTTATTAGATATATAATTCATTAAATAGAATTTATTATAGAATTTATTATAATTCATCAGAAATCTTATTACTGTTTTTGAAAAACAGAGTCAAAATTGCAGGTTTTTACTTTGCAGCACTCATATGTATATCAAAATTTTGAAATCAGAAAATAAAATAGAAGTATTTAAAGACCCCTATTTAATAATTTTTCAATGACAAAAATTATTATTACAAATTTATCAGAAAATGAAATAAAGTCTATATATTACTAATTTGAAGATAAATATATTATTTATTTCTGTCAAAATTTCTGCACATTAATTCTGAAACTCTCAATATATATATTTTTATTAATTTAAATTTTGAATTCAGATCTAATAAAACAATTAAAAGCTTAAAATTGGTTTAATTTTATTTTATAATTAATAATAATCAAATTGTACAATATAGATCTCTTGTTTAAACGTTATAACTAGCTGACAAAACTAAACAAATCTCAACTCCCAAAAAAAAATATTTTGCAGATAGCTATATATGAATATATTCTAAACCACTACATCCAATATTTGGATTTTATTCAAGAATTTTGCTTTAAAATTAAATAGTATCTGTGGTATTGTGAAGAATCAAATACTATTCTTGGAGATATATTATATTAAAAGTAGTAAATCAATATAATTGTATTCTAGATCTTGTTCAAAAAACAGGCTAGTAAAGAATATTGTATACAGTGGTCAACAGTACAATTTGTTTAAATAAAGATTATTAATAAAGCTTTTAAGATATTAAGTTGGTTAGAGTTGAGATTTGAAAATTAACAAATTTATACTATAATAGTTCTAGATTTGAAAGGTAATTATTATTACACTTTCTAAGTGTAAAGTATATATCTTCTTACAAGTTATACTTAAAAGCTGTAATTCTTTTTAACATTTTTTAAAGTTCATAATCTCAGATGAGTAAGTAAGGATTTATTTAAAAAGCTTCAAAACAAGAAGGATCTGTTGCATTGCAAGTACTATATACACGTATATACAAAAATAAAATAAAAAGCTATTTATAAAGTTATGATTCTTCTTAGCTTTATTATTGTTTCTAGTTAAAACTACAAATTCACTAAGTATTTGTATAGCTAAGCTATTATATCTTGTCTTATTAGTGTAGTTTCTTTTTAAAAAACCCCCAAAAATAGTTTTTAAAAAAGGTTTACTATTGCAATTTACTATTAGAAATAGGTTTATCATATAGATGTCAATCACCCAAATTTCATATTAAAAATTTTGCACTCCTGATATGCATAACAAATTGTATAACTGATATATGATTACTACATATATACGCATATATATATGCATATTAAATATATATTGAATACACATTGATACTCTTATAACTTTATTCAATTTCTAGTTTTATTAATTTTTTAACCTAGTCTAGTTTGAATTTGTAGTAAATAACTTAATAACCTTATAATATATAAAGAAGATTCTCTTTAGTAATAAACTATTCTGCTTAGATTATGTATTTTTGTAGCAATTTTTTCTTTTAAAAACTTTTTGCTCTAAACTATAGGTAAGAACTGAATCTAATATTTTAATAGTATTGTAATATAGTGAAATTTTATTAATATATTTTATATTTTATTAGTTAAATATTATTAGCACATT